GCGATGCGGACGCTTCAAAAGCTTCGCCTACTCCGCACTGGAACTAGGTACATACTGTAGAAAGCGCAACATAGTTTTGTATCTTGAACACGCTGTTGCACGTTGCCAACATGCAACAAACCTGTCGAACATGTCAGATTATGGAGAAGAGTTTACGGTAGGTCGGTACAGTAATTCTGCATTGTTGCCCAGTCAAGATTGGTTTTGCTCTGCTGTCATCGATCATACGGGTACGATAGATTGTTCCGCTGACTTTGATTGTGTTTTTTGTTCAGCTGAAGAATGTCTTCCATATCTTCTGCTACAAAATCAAGTGCCTCCTTTAGGCATGATAACTGAAGACGACGACTTTCGTTGGAATGCCTTTCGGTCTCATAAACGAGCTAATATCGAGAAGCTGTCGCTGACACCATGGATGATAACTTGTTTGCAGGCCACTAAGGTTTGTGATTTTCAAAATTTTAGTAGGTTATTCATGCGCTAGACAAAAATGAAAGCAGTTTGTCACTTTTTGCTTGTAGTCGCTGTAGGAGACTTCAAGCAAACGGCTAACAAAAGTTGGTGCTTTTTTGTATAGCGCATGAATAATGCTGCTAATACAGTCTTTTTGTTGCTGTTGATCTATCTGTTTCCAGCTGCTTCTCTTCCTTTTTTGCAATACATTCCTGACTGTGGGTGCAGCCGTCTCCAAAATTTGTGTCTTAATTCTTGCCACAAATCTATGGGAGAAGAGATATACATCGAACACTTATGCTCGTCGATGTAGCAGAGTTGCAGGTGGGTTGCCACTACAAATGTATCACTTTTCATGTTCCATTTTCTTTGAACCATGGCGTTGTAATTTTTCAATATTGTCCACACAAAATTTGTTACGGTGGCAGTTTCTTCAGTCCGCCTTACGTTCCTTCGAATAAATCCGCCTCCATAACAAACCTGGTATGGCACATCAAAATCAAAGTTACAAATTATTCAATCCGCCAATGTGAAAATTTTTATTACTAGGTATGAAACTGTCTGAAGGCCACTTCCAAACGAAGTAAAAGCTTTGACATGCGCTAGTGAGATGCTCGGACGCGCTGCATACGCATGGCATAATAAATCTAACGCTTTCGTCAAGGAACAGCCTTTAGAGCTTTTACAGTATTTATAAATAGAGCTTGGACAAGGACTTGATCGTTTTATCTTCAGGACCGAATGTTTTAAAATTTTTTTTGTATTTTTACAACATTGAGAGAAGAGC